AGTTATTTACTATGGAACTGACCCTCCAGCTCCTTTAGACAGTAAAGCTTCAGTGTTCACAACATTTGAAAGTTATTTTCAGATCTGTTGACAATGATTTTTTAAGTATCTCATGAGTTTCTTTTAAATCTACTACTTAAATTAATTCAGGAAACAGAAGCTTGTCTAATATCTTCTAATCCTTTGTTCTATAATCCTATACGAAGAGCAGAGTTGGGCCAAATTTGGCAGAAATCCATGTTCATTCACTGCAAAACTGAATTATGACTCGGAAGCTGACATTGATGTAAACCATATCAAAGCACATGTGGAGTTTGGCCGTATAGGAACAGAAAGACAACTTAAAAGTACCATCTAAATCTCTGTTCACCACTATAAAGGGATGTAACTCCTCACAATGAACCTGATGAAAAACAGTTGTAATCACAAGACTACTGTCAAGTCAGGCTTCTGTGAATTAGTTTGTTTTCTAAAGCTTAATGCTCAAATTCCATTGTGTTTTTAAACAGCAGCTAGATGTATTGATTTATTAGTTGTGGTTCCTGTGTCTTAAAGAACTGTTGCTGTTCTTTTGTAAACTTTTTTTGTAAAAGATCCTGCACTGATTAACCAGAAATAGTCTGATATTTAAAATTATTGGCGATGTATGAAATGCCCATTTCCAAGTTGTCCATTCATTCTTGTATCTTGCAGGCATGTTCATTTTGTCAATAAGTTTAAATGCTTGTCTGGGAACAGTTGTATTGAAGTGTTCACTCAAGCTGATGTTTTTGACAGATATAAAGTGAAAAGCAGGAACCTTTTCTAGTCAGGGACATGGGTCATTCTGACTACAGGCAAAATAGGCAGCTGAGAGTTCAATGTTGATCAACTTGCTGGGGGCAGCAGATTTATGGGAAAAGTTGACAAACTGAGCTGGTGTCAGACCCCAGGGGCACATAACCCATGGATGCCTTTATGGCGAAGTTGCAGATAGGGAGGAGGAAGATCATGGAACAGTCACTGCCTCATGCACAATGCTGAGATCTCCAAGTTTCAGGGTAAGTGTTCGAAATTATTGAAAAACTGTGATGAGATCCCTTATATCCAAGAAGCCGACAGCCTGTGACTGAAGCTTTATCCAGTACAAAGAGGGCAAAGAGTGCAAGCAACAAGTCCGAAGAGAAAAGCAAAATGATCAACATTAAACCCTCAGCTATAAAGAGCAGCAGCAATAGCAGTATTAACAAACCCAGCAAAACGCCCAGAATACCAAGTCTCTGATTCCTCATGAGCATCCGCACTTGGGCATCACCACTTGTAGTACAAACACTCCACATTAACACTCAATAAACACAGGGCCACCAAGCCCACTTCTCAGCGCCTTGTCAATAAGACACTATAAGAGAGGCAGTTATTTGGGGGCCGAGCGCAGCCTCTCCAGCTGTCTTGTCAGCCAACCTGACCCTCAGGTCCTCAGCTGAACCCAGCAATCAGGGTTCTTCAAAGCTTCTTCAAAGGTTTACTAGGCGGGGGGTGGGGGCAGGGATGAAGGGCCCAAATTCACCCAGCGAAAGCCCCCCCAGTGAGCTGTGACTGACCTCATCACTAAGGTGGTAAGAGGGGTTGCCTAGGGCAGCAGATTGTATTGAGTGGCCTCTGGTGAGGGAGGTGTAAGCACTGTCAGAGCAGTTCAGGAATTTGTACTCCACACACACCTAGAGCTGAACAGGAACCCAGTTATTAGTCGATTGGCAGGTTGCTCTCCGGGGGTAATAATCCCTCAAAAAAATTCAATCAAAAAAATTAAATAATAATAATTTGGTCACTATAACTTGGTTTGTGGGACACTGCTGTGCGCAATTAGCTGCTGCGTTTCACCCACAAAATACAGTCAATCCACTTTACAATATGTTCTGTGAAGCACTTTGAGACATCTCAGTGACATGATAAGGTGCAATATCAAATGCAAGAATTATTATCTTTACTTTAATATTAATAATACATGAATTTGAAATAGTGCCTTATCATGTAGATTTGTTTTTGAAGGAATTGTCACTATAGGGCTGGACTCAAAGGGGCACTTTTATCCCACATCCAGAAAAATTAAAACAGCTTCTATTTCTTGTTGGGGATGTGGTTTGTTATCATTGGGGTTTGCTGTTCCTAACTCAGTTTGAAGGGTATTATTCTTTCTTTTGATTACAAATCTTGTGTCTCAGAGACGTCAGCAGTGGTTGAAAACTGGTTGGCAAAAAAACTTGACAATTTGAGGCATTTTACAGCACTTTGCTGAAGCTGCTTCGGTTGCCTTTTTACATCTCCTTCAGTATCTGGTGTTGTGCATCACAGCTAAAAAATAAAATTGGGTTAGAAAAATCTTATTAAAAATTCTAAAGTAATGTTTCAAATAATGCATGCTCACTAAAATCATAACTTCAGTTTCTAATTTCTCATTACTCTTGTTATTGGTGACACTGTTAAAGTTTGTATATTGTACTGTGGAGAATGCAGGCTGTTGGACGTCAGTCTATGCAAATTCATAGAATCATAGAATGTTACGGCACAGAAGGAGGCCATTCGGCCCATCGAGTCTGTGCAGCTCTTTGACAGAGCGTCACTTTCACTAACCCCACTCACCAGCTTTCTCCCCATAACCCCACAAACCCGTCTTCCCCAGATACCTATCCAGTTGTTTTGCAAAATAACTAAGTTACCATTTTGACCGTTGCTTAACTATATAAACATCCATTTTCTTTCAAAACAAACTAACGGCACTCACACTAATTGTCATTTGTACACTTTCCTTTTTCAAACGTGATACCAGATTGATGACAACTTATAAAGAAAAAACTGCACAATCTCTGAATTCTGGAGAATCCAAATAAGCAATTTTATAGACTTTAGCAGATCATCCAAATCAGCGTAACACACTCTTTCAAAAAGATTCACCTCATGCATGTACTCACATAACTATACATAGCACCAGGATTTATCCTGATCACCTTATTTATAATGAAAGGCTCCAGTTATGGAGTGATCAATTCCATGATATCTGGCTCATGCTACTTATTACTGTTGTTTATAGACTAACCCTTTAATAATAAAAGAACCGCAAAAGGCGATCCAATAATCAACTAACAAATGGGTTCCTAGTTACTGGGTGGTTTAGTAGCTTGGGGCGTCCTCCCCATATGAAATCTATGGATTATGAAATCCAAGAGGACTTAGACAGATTGGTAAAATGGGCAGAAACGTGGCAGATGAGGTTTAATGTAGAGAAATGCGAAGTGTTGCATTTTGGTGGGAAGAATAAGGAGAGGCAGTGTAAGCTGATGGTACAATCATAAAGGGGGCAAATGAACAGGGAGACCTGGGGGTCCACATCAGCAAATCTCTGAAGGTGGCCGGACAGGTAATAAAGCTGTTNAAAAAGCAAACGGGATACTCGGCTTTATAAACAGGGGCATAGAATTCAACAGTCAGGAAGTTATGTTGAATATTTATAAGATGCTGTTAGGCCTCAGTTGGAGACTGCGTTCAGTTGTGGGCACCGCACTTTAGGAAAGATGTTGGGGCATTGGAGAGGGCACAAAGGAGGTTTACCCGATGGTACCAGGAATGAAGGACCTTAGCTATGAGGAGAGATTAGCGAAACTAGGATTATTCTCCCTGGAGCAGAGAAGATTAAGAGGGGATTTAATAGAGGTTTTCAAGATCATGAGAGGATTTGATGGGTTGAACCGGGAAAAACTGTTTCCATTGGCATGTGGGTCAGTAACCCGAGGAACCGATTTAAGAGAGTTGGTAAAAGAAACAGAGGGGAGGTGAGGAAAACATTTTCACCAGTGAGGTGTTGGGATCTGGAATGCATTACCTGAAAGGGTAGTGGGAGCCGATTCAATAACAACTTTTAAGAGAGAAGTAGATGGGTATTTGGGGAGGACAGGATGCAGGGCTATGGAGAGAAAGGTGGGATTGAGTTGGAAGCTCTTTTAGGAGCCTGGATGGGCTGAATGGCCTCTTTCTGCGCTGTATGATTCTATAATTCTATGAAATGTAAATTTGTTGTTGTTGTGGTGGTATCACATTTACATTTACGCAGTGCACTTCACATCAAGAGGATTTCCGAATGTGCTTAACATTACTGTCTGTTTATTTGATTTGAGATGTCATAGCATTCGATTTTGAGGATTTGAAGTGTCTGAAAAAATATATAAAATTATTGTAATAATAACAATAATAATAGTACTATAATTGCATTTTTATTCATGTTATACTGTCACCTTTTCTTGATACTAATATGTGTAAACTAGTAATATTAATAGGAAACGTACCTCTGTGCTTTGTTTTTGATAAATACTGATTTGTTTGTGGCATCAGGTCATTAGTATAGTTCTGATATTGTTACTATTGCATTGATTGGTTTCATCCTTTTGTTCATGTGTAAGTTCAGATGCCAGTGTAATGGTGCAAGTGTTATAGCGTTACAATTATTACAAGTAGCTCACAAGTATCACTGTATTACCAACAGTACTGTACTGGCACTATTATTTAGTTATACTACCCTTAGAGTATACTATTATAATGTTGTCTGTATAGTTGCTAATAAGGCACTGGCATTATCACAGCGTTACCAGCTCTCTGGTGAATGGCTTGTTCAGGGGATTTGAGGTTTCTGTGAAAAAAACGACCTAAAAACGACAGATTTAGACTAAGCCTAATTGTCCCACGTCTCAATCAGTAACTCCTCATTTTTGGCTGGGAAAGAAACTGGGCATATGCTGAGTAAACAGCCCGTGTTCCACAAGGGTTAATACAGTAAAGAGAAACTGACGGTAGCCACGTGACAGTGAAAGCTGTGAATCCAACCCACAATCTGTGTCGGAATCAGAACAAAGCGTCCGAGGGTCAGGGAGCAGATCAGCTCCTCCAGCTCCAGCTCCAGCTCCAGCTCCAGCTCCAGCTCCAGCTCCAGCTCCAGCTCCAGCTCCAGCTCCAGCTCCAGCTCCAGCTCCAGCTCCAGCTGCAGCTCCTCTTCAAACGTGACTCTCGCAGCACACCATGCTGTCCCGGGCTGTGCTGGGCACCCTGCTGCTGTGGACCAGCGCACTGCCAACTCCCACAGGTCACCCCCAGGAGAACACCAGGGTAAGGCAATCCCTTCTGCATGTTACACTTCAGGTCGGTTATCGGTTTGAGAAGGACTGTTTAGTTTGAAGAATATTTGCCAATGTCAAATTGGCAAATTGTCAGGATGACCAAATAGTTGTGATACTATTACAATGGTTAGTAAGTCTTAAAGGAATGATGTTTTTTTTTAGATAAGAGGGTGTTAGTTATCATGACTTTTGGTTGTGGATCGGGCAATTGTTTCCCCAACTGAAAGTGCAAGTTTGCGGATAGTTGAAGTTGCTCATTTCTAAAGTTGCAACAATAACGTGAGTTTCTGAAGCATCAAGTTGCATTAATTAAAAGGCAAAATACTGCAGCTGCTGGAAATCTGAAATGAAAACAGAAGTAAAATGCTTCTAAAATGCTAAAATGCTAATCAAGTTGATGACCTTTGGTCACTTTCCTCTCTCCATAGATACTGCATGACCTGCTGAGTGTTCCCAGGACTTGATTTTATTTCAAGTTGCATTAATTATTTAGTGTTTAACTTTTTACATCATCCTTCAACTTTTGTTCTACGCTTACAATTGCTAAGTGTATTTTTTTATGAAGAGCCTTGAAATGAAATACCTGATGAGCTGCTTTTGATATTTTTAAGCTCATGTTTAGCACAAACGTTTTGACTGGCATGTTCTCTTTTACTTTGGACCACTTGGGGTATGAGTTCCAGCATATGTTAAACTTTATTTGTGCCATCCTATGCCCTTCCTCTCCCAATCACCTCCCAACAAAGCCAAGAGCTCAAACAATTTCACCATTTCATCACATCTTTCATTGTAATTCCCTCTGGCATAGCCACAGGCAGGCTTCAGTCAGCCAGTCTGGCATCTCCGCCTATCTCAGCCCACACTGACAAAGGAGACATTGATATCGGCAATAGGTACAGGAGGCACAGGTACTGACACGTTCCCTCAGGTATTTGATATACTGGATGATGCTATTTAAAAAAATTAGCTGTAAAAAAGTGAAGAAACAAGACAAAAAAGCTGCGATTGGTAAAAGAAACCTCACAATTAACTATTTATTACTCTGTCAGCAGGGAGTCGAGAACAATTACTTTCTGTACTCAGTCCTAGTTTCCTACTATACTGAAAATACACAGCAACCTGCATTTATATAGTGCCCCTCACACAGGGTAGCTCCCAGAACGCTTGACAATGTCGGAGCATGACATCGAGCTGGGGTGTGATAGGAGGTGATCGCAGGCACTGGTTGAAGAGGAAGGTCTTCAGGGATGATCTGAAGATAGGGGAGGAAGAAGCAAGGTGGAGGGGTAGAGTTTCAGTGTTTCAGGGTGTAGTGGCTGAAAGCGCGGCCACCGAGGTGGAATAGAGGGACATGCAGGAGGCCAGAACCAGTCAAGCAGTGGCAGTGGGTGTAGATTGTGTGATAAGCACGTTGGAGAGTTGGGGGGGGTGAGGTGGGGTGTTCCAGGGCATGAAGGGATTTGAAGATGAGGGTGAGGATCCTGAAATCGATCCATTCGGCAATAGGGAGCCAGTGGAGCCCGGCTAGAGCTGGTGTAATCGGGGTCTGGAGTTTAGTGCAGGTCAGTATGTGGGTGGTAGAGTTTTGGATTGGGTGGATTTTGTGGGTGGTAGAGCTGGGGAGACCGGCGAGGAGGGCATTTGAATAGTTGAGGTGGAAAGTGACTAACCCATGCATGAAGGTTTCGACTGGGGTCAGGTACGGTTGGAGTCGGGCAATGTGGTGGAGGTGGAGGAAGGCGGTCCTGGTCAGGGACCAGATGTGGGGAAGGAATGACAGCTGTGGGTCGAACCTGACGTCCAGGTTACGCACTAGTTCGGTAAGTCTGAGAAATAGGGGAGGTTGAGGTGGTTAGAGCCGCAAAGATGGCTCTTTCCTCCCATCGTGAATTATAATACAATACAATTTATACTTGTTGGGAGGATGACCCAACGTGCTTGACAGTTCTGGCTGGGCACAAGATCTGAGGAGGTGGGGCTGAGTGGGGGAAAGGTAATCAAATGCATGGTCATTCAGGGGTATGTTTTGAGGCATACCTTGAAAAAGAGGGGAGAGAGTGACTCTGGGGAACCAGGGACCTGGGAATGAAGTTCCAGAGTGCAGGCAATAAATGGCTGAAAACCCACCCACCCATCTGTACTGTATGTTGCAGGACTGTAAACTCACATGAAGGCTCCAACACAGTTTAAAAAGGAAACGAGTAAGAGAAATAAAATCAAGGTTGCATGACATCAAGTTTGAGATTTATAAGCCTGTAGATGTCAGCCTGGCTCAGTTGGTAGCGCTGTTGCCTCAGAATCAGAAGGTTGTAGGTTCATCAGTAGCATTTATGTAATTCCCTTCATGTGGGGCAGCATCTCAGAGTTCTTAACAATAGCATGTTTTGAAGCTGAGCCGAGGAGAAAGGACTGTAGGCTGTAGGCATAGTTGAAGAGGAAACTCTTCAAGGTGCCATCTGAAGATACAATGCAATACAAAATACAAAATTACATTTGTACAGCGCCTTTCACCTCGGGAGGATGTCCCAACGTGCTGGACACTCAGGGATTTGGACCCGAACTGGGGGTCGGGATCAGGGAGGGTGGAGGGCAGGGAAGGTAGTGGTAAGAGGTTGGTTGAAGGCTTGGTTGAAGAGGAGTGTTTTGAGGTGCACCTTGAAGGAGGCAAGGGGAGGAAGCGAGGTGAAGGGACTGTGGGATGGAGTTCCATAGGGTGGGGGCAGAGAGGTTGAAGGCCCGGCCACCGATGGTGGTGCAGGCCAGAGCCTGCTGAGCAGAGGGAGTGGACAAGTTGATATGGGGATCAGCAGGTCACATAGATAGGGAGGAACAAGGCCGTGGAGGGCCTTGAAGATGAGGATGACGATTTTGTTTTGAATTCTATCCTCTGCGGGATTGGGAGTCAGTGGAGCCGGGCGAGATTGGAAGTGATGGGGTCATGGAGCCTGGTGCAGGAGAGGACACAAGCTGGGCAAAGAAGGGCAAATACAGGGTGAAGTAGAGGATTCAGTTCAGGAGTTCCAGAGGTTCAGGGCTTATTGGTTGAAAACAAGATTTCAATAGTGGAGCAGAGAGGTCAAGGGATGTGGAGAAGCCCTGAGCCAGCTGAGCAAAGGTGGCAGGTTGAGGAGTGGGTGTGAGCTGGTTGTAGAGGTAGGGAATGATTATGGTATGAAGGTTAGTTTGAGAATCTTGAAACCAATCAGTTTTTTGACAGGGAGGCAATGGAGCTTGATGAGGACTGGGGGATGGGGTGGATGAAGACGATAGGGGGGATGGGGAGGCAGAGCTGGTTGAGGTGGCAATGATTTGGTTCGGTTGGATTTTGTGAATGGTGAGCAAGGGAGACTGTCGAGAAGGGCATTGGAGAAAATAATAATAATTGTTGCATTTTATATAGTGCCTTATCACATCATCGAGATGTCTTAAAGCAGGATATACTGTAAAGTGGATTAACTATGTATTTTGTGGGTTAAACATGGCAGTCAATTTGCAGACAGCAATGTCCCACAGACAGCCATGGAGTGAGCACTGGGAGAAACGCCTTTCTCTATCAAATAGTGCCATGGGATCTTTAACGTCTACCTGAAGAGACAGACCAACAAATACACAGTCACTACACTTTACAGTAAACACTGTAAAGCACCTTGGGATGTTGTCCCAAAGTGAAAGGTGTTGTACCAAGTGCAAGAATTATTTTTGTTTAGATTCTAAGAGGAAAAGAATAGTGTGGGAGAAGTAAGAAGTTCCATAATCCTAATGAAAGGGATAATATAAATAAGACCCATTTTTCCAAACTACAAAATTCATTCACTACATTTTACAGTAAATTATAAGCGTGTAGATGCAGCCTGGATCAGTTGGTAGCACTTTTGCCTCTGAATCAGTGGAGTTATTTGATTGCCCACCCAAAAATCAGTATTCCCAGTGCTGTGTTGGGAGCTTTACAGGCTCCAAGTCAGCTGAATCTCTAACCCTCAAAACAACACAAAACTATGGAGTGGGGTGGGCTGGACTGGGCAATCAAAAGACTCCACTGCTTATTGATAATGCTGACAAACAGGATAATATTTGTCAGCCTATCTCTTAATTGGAATTTATGTTTCCTGTTTATCTTTTGTTCAAAAAACCCTTTTTGCATTTCTTGCATGTATTCAGAGTTTTCAAAACATTTAATTGACATGGTCTCTTTCTGCCCTTTTAGTTTTAAGTTAACTTCATGCATTTTAAGATTGATCTCTCTAGGTCGCCATGGAGATGTTTTCCTATCTGTATCGTGGTCTAGGTCAGGTGGCTGAAATTCATCACATATCACTATGTATACTGATAATTAATAGGCAGTACAGAATATGGCAAGTGGGAGAGTTTATTAGGATACATCGAGAGGTTGCAACATCATAAACCAGGATACAGATAAGTAGATGTGAAGAAACAGGAACCACAAACAGGAACCACATCTACAGATAAGTAGATGTGAAGAAAACAGGAACCACAAACTGGCTTTTTCCTTTAAACTTCATCCTAAGCTGAACCTTTCCACAGCAATTTAGAATTGTAGAATATATGGGACGAAGGTGGAGGAGCAAATCCAATAGAGAAGTGATAATGGGGGACTTCAATTACCCTAACATAGACTGGCAAACTAACAGTGTAAAGGGCAAGGAGGGGCAAGGATTCCTGAAATGTGTGCAGGATAACTTTGTGGATCAATATGTTTCCAGCCCAACGAGGAAAGAAGCAGTGCTGGATCTAGTTCTGGGGAATGAAGTGGAGCAGGTTTCAGTAGGAGAGCATCTGGACACCAGTGATCACAACATCATTAGGTTTAGAGTACTTATTGGAAAGGAACAAGGAGCAATCAAAAGTGAAGGCACTCAACTGGAAGAGGCTAAGTTGAAAAGGGATCTTGCCCAGGTGGACTGGAAACCAAGATTGATGGGTAAAATGGCAAATGAGCAACCAGAGGAAATAGGGATGGGCCAAACACAT